TCTCTAGTCTGTGTCTATTTTCTATGGGTACATCTACACTGCGGAGCTATTTTGGGATACTTCCGTATCCCAAAATAGCTATTCCATGTTTTCACAGCGTGCCAGTTACTTTGAAATACCTTTCAAAATAATAGTCATGCTATTTTGCCATCCCTGCAAACCTCATTCTACAAGGATTAAGGGACATTTCAGAATAGTGGTTTATTTTGAAATTTGGCGCTGTGTAGATGGCGCAAAATTATGACAATCTATTTTGAAATACACTCAAAATAAGCTACACAATTTGAGCTATGCAAACTGCATAGCTTATTTCAGGCTAAGGCTGCAGTGTAGATTAACCCTATGGGTTTGTACAGCTGTGCTTCCTTTACTCTTGCTCTCAGGACTCCTTGGATGAATATTAATACAATGATATCTTATTCACTGGGATGTTCAAATCTCAGGGTTTTTTAATTGGTCACAGCATGATCATCCCCTATAACTTGGGATGCATTAACAGGAGTGTTGTAAGCAAGACATGAGAAGTGATTCTTCCACTCTACTCTGTGCTGATTTAGACCTCAGTTGGAGTACTGTGTCTAGTTCTGGGCATCACATTTCAAGAAAGATGTGGAAAAATTGGAGAAGTCCAGAGAAGAGAAACAAAAATAATTAAAGGTCTAGAAAACATGATCTATGAGGGAAGACTGAAAGAACTGGGCTTGTTTAGTTAGTAAAAAAAGAGAAGACTGAGGGGGGACATGATAGAGGTTGTCAAATATCTAAAAGGGTGTTACAAGGAGAAGGGAGAAAAATTGTTCTCCTTGGCCTCTGAAGATGGAACAAGAAGCAATGGGCTTAAATTGCAGCAAGGTTTATATTGGACATTAGGAAAAACTTCCTGTCAGGGTGGCTAACCACTGGAATAAATTGCTTGGGGGTTGTGGAATCTCGATCTCTGGAGATATTTAAGAGCAGGTTAGAGAGACACCTGTCAGGGATGATCTGGACAGTGCTTGGTCCTGCCTTGAGGGCAGGGGACTGGACCCAATGACCTCTTGAGGTCACTTCAAGTTCTATGATTCTATTAACCTCTAAGCCAGGGCTGGGAAACTTTTTTTGGGTTGGGGGCTGCTGACCCTCAGAAAAATCAGTTGGGGGCCACACATGAGTGAAGCAAAAACTAAAAAAACCAAACAAACCCTCACTGATGTGGCCCCTGGCCAAGAAGAAGAAAGGGAGAAAGACACTCCCTGGGCTAGTAGATTTTGTGTGCTCCAGCCCCACAGGGGGACAGCGGTGGGGCTGGAGCATCAGCATGGGCTTCCAAATGCTGAGGAACATCCCCAAGTCTCGGGGGCTGGATCAAGTCAAGCCGGGGGCTGCATCCAGCCCCCGGGCCTTAGGTTCCTCACCCCTGCTCTAAGCTGAGTAAAGCAATTTGTTTATTTATAATAGAAGAATTTCTCTGCATTATCAATGGTAGTAAGTAGTAGCAGAAACCTTTCTGTTTAGAAAGTTAATTTGTATACAGCAAAATGAAAACAGAGGAAAGTGAGTTGTCTGACTCCCGTCAGTGAGATTTCATATTAACGGCACCCTCAGGGACCCGACCAGTCCCGAACCAGGGAGTTTGCTGGACTAGGGAGGTCAATCCCAGCCCCTCTGCTGGTGGCCTCTGGATTCCTGGCTCTGCTCCTGCCATCAGGCTCTGCTGCCAGACACCAGGCTTTGCTCCTAGTGCCCAGCCCTGTCAGACTCTGATCCCAGTCGCCAGTCGCCAGCCCCCAGCCCAGACCTCTGGGCTCTGCTCCCAGCCTTCAGCTCCAGTCCCAGCCTCTGAGCTCCAATCCCTGGACTTCGCTCCTAGCTCTCCTGTTTGGCAATATCCATGGTCCTATTGCACGACTTTTCCCCTATGAGTGCTCTACTCCTAGAATACTCATGGGGTTCCTGACGATGCTGAACCACAGATGTTGCCAGACCACAGAGTCTTGGACTAGAGAGGTTCAACCTGTATCATAACAGTTGATGCTTACTATACATTGTATTCCAATATGAGACACAGCATACAAGTTATGAATGCAAATGGGTAATGAAATAGAATCCATACCTTTTTCTAAAATATAGAATTTTTTATTTTGTTTTTATACATATATTGCCATGACACAGAAATGCCCTAAACTAGTAAGAAAATGACAAACAATAGATAACAAAATAGACACTCCGTTGATGGACAACAGATTTATGATACGAAGAGTTTGACTTTACTTAGATATTGTGATGTGAAAATGTTTTTAGAAACTAGTGTAAAATGCAAAAAATGTTCCCCCAAATATTAAGTAATGACGAGTGTTATTCCAGAAAGTAAAAAAGCCTTGCATTTTGCAAACCTAAAAATAAATGCTTGATGAAAAGGATGCATGACATGCATATCAGGAAAATGAACCGTGACATTTTCCCACAGAATATGTGTTGTGTGTTGACAGACTTTTTTGTTAAAAAAATGACAGTTTTGGTGCAAGCTGTTCCTATTATGACTATAAGGAAAAAGATAGCAAAGGAGAAAGTATAAGTAACACTATGTACACTTGAAATGAACCTATCAGGTTACAAGGTGGCATAGTCAGTTTGGGCATGTCTACACAGTAGAGCTAAAGACTAAATAAGCTATGCCACCTGAGCTACGTCAATTGCGTAGCTTAAGTCGAAATAGCTTATTTTGACTTTTGGTGCTGTCTGCACAGCAGGAAGTCCGAATTGAGGGTTACAGGAGTTGGAGTAAGAAGTCGTCCAGCTTGACATTATTTCGACATTATGTTGAAATAACTGCTTGCTGTGTAGACGCGGACTGTGTTATTTTGGAATAACATCAGTTATTCCGAAATAATGCCGCTGTGCAGACATAGCCATAATGTAAAAGTGCCTTGTGGTATCTAAAACATGTTCTCTTTGCCATTTGTGCTCTGCACCCATAAACAATGGACTTGTAATATGGAGTACTATTCACACTAAAACTTCAGGTCTAGTTTACTAATGTCCAAACATTAGGGCCAAAACACTTGCTAGGTCCCTGGGAAGGCGAGCAGAAGGGATAGGGGCTAGCTTCCTCCAGAACCTCAGTGCCACCTGGAGCGTGCCATGCCTACCCCAAGCAGTCTTCAGTGCTACCTAGAGGACACCACCTGGGGCTTCCTTGCAGATTTAAAGGGCCTGGGGCTGTGACTGCTGAAGTAGCAGTGGTGGCGGGGAACCGCAGGCCCTTTTGAATCACTTGGCCCCAGAGGTTCCCCGTCACCTTTATTCCGAGCATCTCCTGTGGGTGGGCCTGCTTCCAAACATATTAAATAAGGATACTAACACATTTCAGTGACTTGAATAGTTTTCCTATGATTTCCAAAATGTTTTTAATGTGAAATCAAGTCTACTTTTAAAACATACTTGGAACAAAATTGTCTACCTATGAAGATGACCAGGCTTATCTGCACAGCTTTAAAGACTTTTAGAAAAGAGTTAAAAATAATGGCAGTCCTTACATAAATTAAACACTTGGCTGCACAGAATATCTATCTGTTAATGTTAAATGAGAATACATCAAAATGATCTCTTTGAATAAAGGTTACAATCAAAAGTGTAATATATTCAAATTCAATACAAAATAATTTCTCACAAGTCTTTTTACTGACAAATTCCTTATGCTCTGAAATTTCAAAGTGGAAAGATCTTTAAAAAGCAATGATTAAATATGCAAATGCCAAATTTTATAGTCTTTTTTATGAAGAAGTGTTCCTTTTATAATTTTGTCTGCTGAGAGAGCTTATTTTTTCATATCTCATACTAATTTTTCTTTACCACCTCCTCTTCTATTTTTAATGATAAGTGACTGGACAGGAGGATTTAACATTATGTAGTTTCAGTTTTTCCTAATCAATTAATCTCGGTGGTACACTGCGTTTCTTAGGGCTTGTGTACATGGACACTTAGGATACATCTACACTGCATGGCTATTTCAAAATAAGCTATTCTGGAATAGTTATTCTGAAATAGCTTATTTTGGAATAGCATGTCTACACTGCAGGGAAGCCTCAAAATTAGTCCAAGGCAGACTTCCCTAATGTAGACGTGCTATCTCAATTTAGAGCCCCAGGAGGAACTGGGAACAAATAACTTAGAATGGTCCCGGTGATGGTCTATTTTGAAATAGCAGCAGTGGAGTGTCTACACTCACCTTATTTTGAAATAGCTGTTTTGGAATAGGTGTTATTCCATGTAGAATTAGGTATACAGATTTCAGAATAAGCCATCCATTATTTTGAAATTATTTTGAAATAACAGAATGGCTGTGTAGACGCTCATATTGTTATTTTGAAATAATGCTAGTTATCTTGAAATAATGGTGTAGTGTAGGTGCATTCTTAGTGTGCTGCAGGCAGAGGTATAGCCCTCTCCAGAAGCTCTGTACACTAGACTGTACTTGCGGCCATGTGGTCCTTGCTCCCAGATCCTAAAAGTTGTGTTGTGCAACTTGTTCTCCTGCAGCAGTAGATCAAAGTGCACTATGGATCTCTTAGTGGATGGCAGCAAACTCTACATGGCTGGTTAGGGCACAGCAAGGTGGGAGATCCCAAACTCTTGCCAGGAACATGCCCTTATCCTGAACAACCTTACTTCTATTCTTCCATTCCTTTAGGACTGACCTCATGATCCCTTGGGCCAAATCTCACTTATAACCCTTTTGCCTTAGGAAAAACACTAACACAAAGTGGTGAACACAGCCAAATGGCATACCATGTCCTATGGTTTAGGACTCTCAAACTGAATAAGAAGCCCTTGTCATTTTCTGGGGATGCACACTTGTTTTTACTCATAGACATCCATCTGTCACTTGGTTTTACTTTAAAGAGCTCAGATCTACTGGAATCCATATGCAACCTACGCTTAATTATTCAAGTGCCAGGAAGTAGCCCACACTGTGTAGAATGTTGGATGCTCACATTCCAAACCTACAATGCCCCACATACCATAGCTTTCATCTCCAACAGCTGCCAATATAAGAGCCATGGAAACAGTAGAAGCTCATCCACACTTTTCTCTCTCTTCTGCCATCCCTAAAGCAATGACAGATAAGAACTGTAATGTAAGATATCTCATGACAAGCTGTCATTCCACTGGTACAAGCCAAATAATGGAAATGCTTGTTTACAGGTCAGTGGTATTAAATTCTCAAAATACAAATTATTCTGTTCCACTCAATGGCCAACTTAAAATCAAAACTTGAAGTCACAGATGACTGATTACAGGGTGAGGTGATAAGGGTAAAAGGGACCTCTTGGGATCATTTAATCTGACCACCTGCATAATACAAGCCATAGGACTTTCCTGAATTAATCCCCATTTGAATTTTAGCATATCCTTTGAGTATTTCTTCATGCAGCGCACAGTCAACCTGTGGAATTCCTTGCCAGAAGATGTTGTGAAGACCAGGACTTTAACTGGGTTCAATAAAGAACTAGATAAATTGCTAGAAGATAGGTCCATCGATACTTATTAGGCAGAATGGGTAGGAATGGTTTGTCAGAGGCTGGAAAAAGATAACAGGAAAAGGATCACTTGATGATTACCTGTTCTGTTCACTCCCTCAGGGGCATCTGACATTGGCCACTGTCAGCAGACAGGATACTGGGCTAGATGGACCTTTGGTCTGACACAGTTGGCCATTCTTATGTTCTTAAACATCTGGTCTTGATTTAAAATTTCCCATAATGAAGAATCTATCAAAATGTGTGGTAAGTTGTTTCAATAGTTGTTTTCCATTGTTAAATTTTGTACCTTTTTTCTAGTCTACATTTGTCATCATGTAGATACTTGTAGATGCTGATAAAGTCCCCCTTTTAACTTCTCTTTGATAAAATCAATAGATTGAACTCCTTGGCATGGATCCACAAAGTGACATAGGAGTTGCAACACTCAGTGTTGCGGAATTTAACTTCTAGGCATCTAGAAAATCACTGGAATCATAGGGCTGGAAGAGACATCAGGAGGTTATCAAGTCCAGCCCCCTGCCCAAAGCAGGACCAACCCCAACTAAATCATCCCAGCCAAGTCTTGGTCAAGCTGAGACTTAAAAACCTCTAGTGATGGAGATTCCACCACCTCCCTAGGTAACCCATTCCAGTACTTCACCACCCACCTGATGAAATAGCTTTTTCTAATATCCAACCTAGACCTCTCCCACTGTAACTTGAGAACAACACTAGGATCCACAAACCCTGCATTAGGTGCCCTACCTCCCTATACAATGCCCAGGGAAAGATAGGCATCTAACAATGCGCCCTCTAAAAGTGCTACAGTCCAGGCCGTGCGGAGAGCAGGCTGTACTGGCTCTGCCCCTTCTGCCAAGTCCCTGTCCCTTCTGGTAATGCAGAGCCACCCCCACACTTTGCCCAGCAGCCCATTGAGGCTGTCAACTCCTCTGGGGGCACCTATCCTTGCTAGTGATCCACAACTAGGATCACTTTCCTGAAGTCAGACATCTTAGGCATCAGTCAACTACATTGAATGGTCAGATTAAAGAGTGAGCATGAGAAGAAACGTCATTTGCATTCCTTCTGTACTTAACTATTTCCAGGGCTGGATTAACATTTTGTGGGCCTAGTGCCAAACATATTTGTGGGCCTCCATGTATTCAGTCCTTTGTGAGTGTGTGGCAGTGCTATAGTATACCCAGTACTAAGTCTCAGAGGCATATTTCATTTTGATCACACACATCTGCAAGATTGAATGTACTGCTATACACAGCTTCCTCAGCCTCTAGTTTCTCTCATTGGGCTGTACACCCATGTAGGTGTCCAAGGCTGTGTCCAGACTCCATGCCTCCGTCGACGGAGGCATGTAGATTAGCCAGCTCGGAAGAGGGAAATGAAGCCGCGATTAAAATAATCGCGGCTTCATTTAAATTTAAATGGCTGCCCCGATCTGCCGATCAGCTGTTTGTCGGCAGATCGGGAGAGTCTGGACGCGATGCCCCGACAAAGAAGCCTTTCTTCATCGACACAGGTAAGCCTCGTGAAACCAGGTTTACCTGTGTCGATGAAGAAAGGCTTCTTTGTCGGGGCATCG